ACAATTCTCTTTAATTCTAACAGATATATTTTTCATCATTCTTTGCACCCAAATCTTTGACCATTCTTCTTCTGTAATATTAATACCTAAATCACTCTCCCAACTAAATTTCATTCCCTGTTGTGCTTGATTACCTTCTATCAATATTTTATATATTTTACCTATTAACCCTTTTGTTACTTTGTATCATTCTGTTTCATTTGTATTATTAATTCCTCAAATTTTGTTAATTGTCTGCATTTTACTTTGTATCATTCTGTTTCATTTGTATTATTAATTCCTCAAATTTTGTTAATTGTCTGCATTTTACTTTGTATCATTCTGTTTCATTTGTATTATTAATTCCTCAAATTTTGTTAATTGTCTGCATTTCCCATATTGTTTTACCCAATCCTTAGTCCATGCCTCCAATTGCAGTACATTATACCAAGATACCTTAGTTGGTTCAAATATCTCCTTTATATCATCTCTACAAGAAACTTTACTTAACCAATCTTTCAATCTTAATATTCCAGCTTGCTCCGTATCTTTTATTAATCCTGCCTTAAGGTTCTCTGGAAATTTTTCTAGGTCTACAATTCGGGTCAATGGTGATATTCCTGGACTAATTTTTTTTTATTTTTATGCCAAGTCTGTAAGATAACATTATTTATTGGGTTTTTTATTTTGTGTAGAAAGAAAATAATCTTTATCCCTTATCTCCCCTAACTCCATTTCTCCCCAAATCAATTTTTCTATTCCATATATCATATTAGGGACATATCTCATTTGATTAGCTATATAATACTTATTAATATTTGGTATACCTAATCCTCCTTTCTGGGATGCATACCATAACTTTTTTTTTTTATTCTTGATTTTTAATCTCCATTGCAAAAATTATTTGTGATATTTTGCCATTGTCTTAACTCCTCTTCTGTTAATTTTACTGGTAGCATCTAAAATAAAAAAATTAATTTTAGGTAAAATCTTAATTTTACATAACACTACTCTTCCAAACCATGACAATTTCACTTTTTTATATCCAAGTATTTCTTCATTTCTTTTTTCAACTTATCAAAATTCAATGTTTTTAATTCCTGTAAATATTAAGCTATATTTATTCCCAAATATTTAAAACTCCCCTTCATGGATCACTGCCTTGTCGTGGCGAAGGGGCTTGCGTAACTCAGTGA